CCAACTACACCACAAGGGGTTTTTGTTTGTTGAACTAGCGGCTCACTTCAAATTCTCAAGTAGCTGAAGCCAGGCCGTAGTATTTCGTGCGCGGTTTGTTTGTGGTCATGTGGGTGTTCACGACCACCAACGAACATGTCATTGTTGATTATGGATGGTTTTTTTCCCACGAGGTTTGAGTATTGAATTTTTCGGAAAACTATTTGTGGAGATAGCGGAGTGCAAGGATGATGACATGACAAGCTTTGAATGCTTAATTTGACGGGGAGATGGGGAGATGGGGACAATAAGACCTACTCTTCAGGGGGTTTGTGTTCTGTCCCGTTGAGAAGGCGAGGAAGAGTTGTAGGTAGACGATTGAAAACTAAGCGCTTTAAAGTTCATTGAGTTGACCAAGGGTACATGTTGACTTAAGTATGGTTTCTCAACATTCAAATTGCGGAGGGAAGGAAGGTGCAGTGTTGTCAGGACAGTCGTTCTTACCTATCTGTACCTCTACCTTTCAATCCAGGTTGATCTGTAAATGGGTTTATTAAGGATGGAGAAAGGGGGTTTCCAGCAGGCAGTCGACGAGGCCATCGCTTTCCGTCGTCTGAGATCAGTGGCGGTTGTTGCGAGCGGATATGTTGTCTCTTCACGGAATGAAATTTCAAACTCAGTTACCAACTCAATCCCAGCATTATCTCAAGTAAAGGTACTCCCACAGGGTCAGACTGGGGCGTTTCTAGCCCCGATGAGTATCTGAGTGAAGTTGAATGTTTAAAAAGGAATTGGCCAACAAATGACTCTGTCATTATTGATGGAAAACCTGATGAGCCAGACAAGAACAACACCCAAGGTACATCACCGGTGTGATAAACTACATAATCTTGAAAGAAATCTACCTAAAGGAGATAAATACCATCGCCATCCTTAAACAAGCCAAAAGCACAAATGTCACCCGTTACACCTGCCCCTCAGCAACAGTCTTTTCCCTCTCCTCGCCCTCAAGAGTAGCATCCTTCGCGCTATCATCAACATCCAACACCTTTTCCACCTCCTCTTTCTTTAACCCCTTGTCTTCACCCTCATCATCCTTTTCCTTCCCCGGTTTAGCCACACCGTCGTCCCCTTCCTTGCCCTTCTTATTACTCTTCTTGAACCCCTTAATCCACTTACTCTCCTTTCTCTCCCCATCCTTCTCCTTCTTCTTCTTAGCATCCCTCTCATTATCACTGACAATCTCCCATGGATTCGGTCTGATAACTTTCAACTTGACCATCTCCTTCTTTTCACTTTCCCCTTCCTTGCCATCTGGACCTTTGTCTCCATCTTCAGCGGCAGTGACATCTTGATCAACACGATAATAAACCCTCAACCCCACCACCGCCACCGCATTCCACGGGTTCTTCTCGAACTCCGCATTCAGGTCAACCGGTCCATTCATAGGCACATCTCTTCTGCCACCATGTCTCCCACGGGGATCCCGACCTCTGCCCCCAATCGGCGGACCCGGATACGGAGGACCAGGTTGCACCGGTTGCGGCTGGGGCGGCGGTGGTGGCAGGATAGCAGCCTGGTGACGGCCTTGATCCTGAAGCCTCCCGTTGCGACGAGCGTCGTCACGAATGTGCATGTCAAGTTCCCGGTCGGAAATGTCGGATATACTGGAGATGCTGTAGTCATCTTCTGAGTCAGAAGGGGAAGAAGACTCAGAAAAGCTATCGTCGTAGAAGCGGGGACCGGTGTTGCGACTTTGATGATGGGGGTCGTCGAAAAAGACATCGCGACGTGGTGGCGGCGGTAGTCCATTTCGTTGCCGAGCCCGACGAGACGAGGGTCCGGTGTCAATGGGTGGGTGCATTGGTGATCTTCCACGCAGTTGGGAGAGGGGTCTTTGCTGGCGGTGGTCGTGAATGTGGGGAGCCGAGAAGGGACGTTGGGGAGGAGGCATCGGTGGTTGGAGAGTGCGTTGCTCGGACGGGGCACGAAGATGAGGAGGAGGTGGTGGAGGCTGCCTCTGGTTGTCGATATCTTTTGGCTTTGGTTCTTGCCCCTGCTCCGTACCATTGTTGACACTGTCTCCGAGCATTAGCTCAAGCTCTTGTTTCAAGCTAGAAAAAGATTAACAGCTGCCCAAAGCTTGGTCTCAATCTCCTTATTACGATTATTGTTTCTTTCATCTTCGTCTTGCGTTGGATGAGGTGATTGCGAATGTTGAGGAACGTCCTTCGGTGTCTTGTTGATCTCTGCTGATGACCCTGGCTGTATGCCGACTGGATTCTGCGTACTTGGTTCTTGTGCCTGCTCCGAGGATGGTTCAAAAAGGCTGGTGGAAGATTCACCACCACGCTGCTGTGTTGGAGCTGATTGAGGCGTCAGTACATCCGTCGAAGGGGCCTCTGGAGCCTTTTCATCCTTTGTAACAGGGCCGGGCAGTACAGGCTCTGGAAGACGGTCCGCTGCATCGACTTCGGGAGCACCCGTGCTGCTAACGGACGGAGTTGGCTGTCCGGCGTCTGTAGACGGCGCAGTATCTACTGCCGCGGGTACCATACGCTCGCCATCATGATGTAAGGCAGCACCAAGGCTGAAAGAATGATCTTTTGTCCCCGTTCTTTGCCCATTGATAGGAGCCTCGGATGTCTCTCCAGCCTGCTTCCTTTCTGCTTCTTCCCGTTTTTCCTTCTTCTTTTCCACCTTCGCCTTTCGTTTCTCGGCCTTCCTCTTCATCCTCTCCTTGTTTTTGTCCACCCGACGCTTCGTCCTTTCGCAGTTTTTCATGCGGTTGTAGTAGTTAATCTCCTTCTCCTCCATGATAGCCTTCCGCAAACTTTCTCGTTGCTTGTCCTTCTTCCGCTGTTCATGTGCCTCGCGAGCTGCTTTCTCCTCAAGACTTTCCTTGATCTTGGCTTTGCTATGCGCCAGATCATAGGAAAGCCCGATACGAAGCAGTTTCTCGCGATGGTGACGGGCATTATTCCGCACAACGTCCTCGGTAGGCAGAACCCACTCGTTGCGAGTGGCATCGATCTTGACGAGGACCAAGTATTCGCCAGCATCAAGATCCAGTTCCACGTTAATGGAGCGGTTCATACGAGAGGAGTGTTGCGTTCGTACTAGATAGTCGTCCTCCCCAGAACGATGCACGCGGAAGTTAAGCTCGAATCTGTACTGGCCCTCTAGCCCGCGGAAGTAGCGGTCATCAAGCTGGGAGAGGACGATGACCACCGGGCCGGGCTTTGCCAGTGCAAAGGCAAACTTGGTGTCATGATATTCTAGGGTCCATGGTACGAAGAGCGTGGTCCAGATGGAGGTAACTTTCCAGTCCGGTCCGAAGAGGCGTGTTCGATCAAAGGCCTGAAACTTGCGCAAGAAGTCCCTGTAGGAGATCCAAAATGCACCATCATCTCCGAACCGGTGATCTAGTTTCTGCAGCCATTCTGGTGTCCACTCCTTTGAACCATCACCTGTAGAGTTATGTTAGCCACTTTCTCAGCGCAAGGCTTCTGGAAGAAACTCACTCCAGGGCCCTGTCCACTCTCCTTTCCCCCAAGGGTTCTTCAACAAGAGGAGTCGCTCCCCGTCAATGTCCACCGCTTTCATGACAGAATAGGCATGCTGTTCCATAATCCCCTTTCTGTCACCGTAGCCGCGTCCCCTGGGCCCTTGTTGTCAGTATTTTGTATGCAAATAAAGAATCGGGAAACTCACCAGACCCCAGTCGAACATCCAAACAGAAATTGCTCATTGACCTTCATAAGCTCCTCCTTCCAGAAATGTTCCTTGTCAAGTATATCCGCAGTGTATAATCCAGAGGTCACACCGCCCGTGAGATCCTCGATACCTTCACCAGTGAAACCTCCCTCAATAGCTGCATAGTCTCCGTGGGCTTTGGCATAAGCCTTCTCGAGCAAAGGCAGCCAGGTTTCGTTCGGGTTCTCGCACTGCGCAAAGTAGAGTGCGCCGCTATTGGATTGGTAGGTTTTCCTATAAATTTCCTCAGAGTCTGGGCGATCCCTATCATCCCATAACACACGTTCCATGTGAAAACGATCTATAGCCTCATCATAGTCAGGCCTAGTGAGATAGAGCTATTGCAGCCGCGTCTGGTTAGCGAGATTCATCAAGCGCACTGGTAGAACAATGAATAATTTATCAACTCGCATTACCTTGTCATCAATGATTTCGCTGAACCACTCCCCATCCCGGTGAAAGACAAAGCCGTAGACACCAATGTCCTGGTCGTGAGCCACACAAATCCGTTCGATGAGTCCAGGCTTGTTGCTCATCGTGCACAATGCCGCCATGAGCCAGCAGTCACCGTCTCTGCCCTGGCGCACATCATTTGCGGAGGGACCTTCAATGTAGAACTTTGGGTCGTCAAAGATCTCGCCCACACGCTTTACTGATGCGGGCCGAAACTTGGACCCAGGCATCCGTCCTTGCGGGGACAATTGCGCGACTTCATCTCCCTTGGCGACTTTGGTTTGGGTCTTGATCTGGCACTTCGCTGGAGTGCCTGTGCCTTGGTCACGATCACCATAGTCTCTCCTGTGACGATGGGATCGCGACCGGGGGCGTGGTAGGTGGTTGTAGTCGGAATCTGAGTCGCTACTGGAGAATTCGATGATGTTCTCGTTACTAAGCGATTCGAGGCAATCGCGCCTACCCGTCTTCAAGTCGTACTCCAGGTCGAAATGCGGGTCTCTGTACTTCTGGTTGACACGACGGCATTCTTGAACGATCTTTTCCACCTTGGCCCTGCAGATAGCCGCGGCTTCTTCGAAGGATGCTTGCGCATTTGTACCACCTCCCACCTCCTTAGCTGACTTGCGCTTGGCAAGCCTCTCAGCGTACTCGTTCTTGGGGAGAACCGTAGTGGCTGCAGAATTTGTAAGCCTTCAGGCTCTCCAAATGCCGAGCTGAAAAATTTCGGGTAGGAATTGTAGGTGTACTTACCCTTTCCCGGGACTCTCGCGGTAAACTTTGTCCAGAAATCGTCGACCTTACTTTGCGGTGTCTTGTACTTATGGTGTTGACCCCAAAGTCCTCCGTGAGGTTGATAAACCGTCATTTCTGCCAGAACCGACCTCCCACCTGGTGTTGGTGATGGAGACCGTGACATCTTGGGCGCGTTGGGCTATTGGGCTCTGGATGAGTGTGAGGATGAGAAAGGGAGGTGTGGAAACTGAGATTTCACTCTTTCTCAGCTATCTCTGATCGGCCTGAGCAGTTCTTGTAGAAGAAAAAAAGAAGGAGAGAAGAAGCAAGCGTCAAACAGGCAGCAGCCTTGCCAGGCAATGTGGGCTATATATCTATCACCTGGCTTCCAGGCAAATCACCCTCATGCGCGGAGGGGAACACGGCAGAAAGCTGGTATCCAGCCCCGTCCATAGGCCGATTGGTCCATGTATACCTGCGGTTTGAGTGACACATAGAGCGGGGATAAGCCGCGCTGTTTCTGAATCCCGTCATTTTCCTAAAGGGTGCCTTCGACGTGCCCGTACGTACCTCACTTCCCGGTCTTCAGTCCTCAGCCCCCGGAACCAACCAACCGGTTCAAGACTAATCTGGAAAGGCATGCCCCTCGTTTCATGGTTGGCACCAACTCAATTTGTGAGAAAATAAACAGCGATTAGTATGTTCTTTGTCGGTTGCCGCCGACGCGATGGATGAGACAAAGGATATCGCATGCAAGTGGCCATGGCTGGGCAGGAGGTTTCGCGCTTGAGCAAGTTGGTGTTCCTGGAACAACCGTGAACAACAGATGAAGCCGCCACATCATTATCCGGGTGTGAGTGAGACAGTGACAACCCAACCCGTGCAACTTTGCAACCGGGAGCCGACTTAACAACATGGTAACAACAGCATGAAAAGAGAGAGACAAGCAGGAGGAAAGCAAGGATGAAAGCAGTAGTGTGAAAGTGATAATAGAGCAGAATCCAACGCCTCTCAGAGAGAGGATCGCGATCACCTTTTCTTTCCTGTCATGCCTGAACCAGTAGTATGGCGCTTCTCGTCTCTTTTCACTTCCCTTTGCTGTTTTTCCTTGCTCGGTTTCCACCGGCCGTGTCCTGGACACTTGCCCAGCATCTCGGTGTCTGTTACTGACTCCAGCACGTTACTGAATGCGATCTCAAAGCCTCTCTTCCATGGTGGTGGCCAGCTGTGCTTTGGGCTGTTATCTGTCAGAAAAAGCAGTGGCGCCCTGTCAATGACTTTGTAATGCTAGCGATTAGTAGTCGGTAAACCTGTTCTCCATCCTTCGGCATTAGTGCGAGGAAGGAATGTGGGCGGAGTGTGGGCGGTAGAACAGGTAGCGGTAGGTTTTCTCGGTGATACCATAAGACCACTGCAACACTACCAACCATTGACGGACAGGCTCACGGGAGGGTGGTGAACGGCGGGCTCAGCAAGCCAATGGCGATGCTTGGTGAAGGATGCATAGCCTGTCTGCAGAGCTTACTGTGAAGCTTTTGTGTGCATCTCCTGTTCTTGGCACTGAAGTCCGAGTGGAAGGGTTGGACACGGTTACAACACCGCAGCAGTCAACGTAAACGTGATGACCCGAGATGTATGTATCATCGACAGCGGTTGTTGGGGCTTGCGAACGCCGAGGATGCTCAGCGTAGTATATCCCCGGATAATCCTTTGCGGCTGTGCTGTGCTGAGCTCTGTTGAGCGATATTACTGCGGTGCTTTCGTTTGATGGTGCCACCATGGTTGGCATGGCTTGAATATATGGCAATAAGCTTGGAACAATGTGATTCTTGCCGGTGAAAAGGAAGGCATGATCGCTGGCTTCGTTGGTTGAAGAGGAAAAGGCGTGACAGGCTCAGCTAAATACGCTGCAAATGAAATGAAAATCTGAGTAAATAGAACCTTCCGAATGTCATCAGCGGCGTGGAATAAGTGATTTGGTGGTGATCGCGATTCGGTGCTGTTGTGGAAACAGTGGTTGTTGCATGACAAAGAAGGAACAACGAGGAATTTTAGAATGTGAGCAGGAAGATGCACGTCCCGCTGTACAGTAAATTCTACAGTTCAATTAAGTCCATAGCGCTACTCAGTGCTTGGTTGCAGCAGGCCGGTAGCATATTATGTAGCCACCAACGACCCTTTTATAAACTCCTGCACATGTTCCGAGCCCCATTGTCCATCGATTATCTACCTATCTCGCAGTTTTGACGACCGGACAGCGTTCAAATAGAACGAAATATGAAAATAGGTAGACAATAACACCACAATGTTAGTGAATGACCCTAGCAGTACCGGGCAAAAACTGACATATGAACGGGCAAAAGCTAGTATGTACAAGAAGAGTGAATCGTAGATGCTGTGCTCATCCCTATGACAAGATGTACTAAAATCAATTAACACACAAGAAACGTGAGTTACACCTCCACCAAGCAATATATGCCTTGAGCTGGACTAACCTTCCCCTTTACTCAAGTGGAAGATCCCTTTCCACTCAATGTCCGCTTCTCGCACTCAAGCTGGCAAAAGCATCTGGACTGTGCCTCCCGTTTGACCAATCCATCCCCAAGGCCATTACACTTTCCCTACTTGCGTTGTATGCCTTGGGTGCCGCCCCGTTCTGCTGCTGTCCCTGAGCCGGCCCTCCTGCGCTTATGAACGGGTTCTTGCTTCCCGCCATCTGGCTTCCTGCCCCTTGGTTTGGTGGCTGTTGCTGTTGCTGTTGCTGTTGCTGTTGCTGTTGCTGTTGCTGTTGCTGTTGCTGTTGCTGTTGCTGTTGCTGTTGCTGTTGAAACTGCTGCTGTTGGGGCTGTCCTTGTGGAGCATAGTTTCCGTTCGCCTGTCCAGCTTGTGCGGGTGCTTGCTGGCCGTGGGCCTGAGGCGGGTTTTGCTGTTGCGCCTGGGGTGGTTGGGGAGCAAGCTGTGGGTAGTTATACAGAGCCAAGATGGACGCATTGTCGGGTCGTTGAGGTTGATATTGTTGCTGATATTGCTGTTGCGGTTGATATTGCTGTTGTTGTTGCTGCTGCTGTGGTTGATATTGTTGTTGTGGGTTATATCTGCCTTGCTTCTGGGGCATCTGGGGCATCTGGGCGACCTGGGGGTTTTGCATCTGCATCTGTCCCTGAGCCTGGTACTGCGGTACCTGTCCCGTCATTTGTTGTGCAAGACCGTATTGTTGCTGAGGAACCTGTTGTTGCTGCTGCTGGGGCATTCCACCTGTTGCTTGGTTGAAGAAGGGATTATTTCCAGTCTGTTGCATGCTCAGAGGCGCGGGGGCCTGAGCTTGTCCGCCAGCGTAGAAGTTTTGCTGCGACTGTTCGGGTATTTGGGTGAGGGTAGGTGACTGCAACCTTGTCGGCGACTTGGCAAAAGGGTTGTTTGCATAGCTACCGGCGTAGCCTGTCGTGTTGATGGTCATTGGTTGCTGGGGCTGGAATTGATTCTGGGGCTGCTGCTGCTGCTGTTGCTGGAATTGGGTCTGAGACTGCTGCTGCTGTTGTTGGTTGTTGAAGAATGGGTTATAACCAGTAGCTTGCGACGTTAAGGGGAAAGTCTGGCTGCTGGCGAGAGCAATCGAGGGATAGTTCTGCTGAGCCGGTCCTGTCATCTGGGGTTGCTGGTATCCTGCCGGAGCATTCTGCTGCTGAGGAGCAAGCATTCCCCCTGTGTGGTGGGGGAAGAGCGGTTGAGAAGGAGGAGCAAGCGAGAGATTCTGGAAAGCTTGATCGAACGCGGACATGGCCTGTTGCTGTTGCGGTTGCTGCTGCTGAGGGGCCGTTTGCTGTGGTACGCCAAAAGGATTCGTCGTGGTCATGTTATAAGGGTTCCTATTTTGCAGTGTGCCTGTCGATTGAGAGGACAACGGCTGAGGGGGCAGTGGCGCATGGTCGAGCATGTCGAACGGGTTCATGCTGGCTGGGCTGATCGGTCGTCCACGAGCTGCGTCCTGGCTAGATGTCGATGGTGCCAAACTCTGGCTAGAGGCCGTGGGGGTTTGCTTCTTGTTCAGGTTGAGCGGTGTTTGAGCCTCCCTTCCCTCTCCCAGCCTAACCAACGCCTCGATAGCCTTTTCCAAAGACCCGCCAACCCCTTTAAGAACCATGGCATTCCTTTGTGCGTCCGTAAAGCCCATATCCCGCAGCTTCTGTAACTTGATTCCGGTTTCATCGGCGTCGTTGCTCTCGAATCGAACCGTTGCCCCAAAGCCTCCATTGGTCCGGGGGGATGCCGGACTCCGTGGCCCAGGAGAGGCCGACCTGCCCGTGTCGTGTTTCTTCTTTGAGCCAAGTGGGAATATGGAGGATGCCGACCTCAAGCCAAATCGACTGCCGGTTTTCGGGGGAAGCGGAGGGGGCGTTTCGTCGGAAGAGGTGCTGCCGGTGTTGTGCTTCTTGGCGCCCGCCAGGGATCGCTGCATGTATTTTTGACGAATGAATCTCTCCATCGCGGGATCTACCTCGTCGGCGTCGACCGGTATAGGTGGCTTTTTGTTGTCGGGATTGTAGGTCTTGTTGGAGGCAATATTGCCGACCTTTTTCATATTCTAGAGGGCGTGAAAAGTGTGAGCGTCCCTGCAGCGGAAATCGGCATGGGCATGGCGTATCTTGCATACCTCGACTTGCTCGTTGGACCAACTATCCATGCTCAAAGACTTGACCTTGGAGATGTGGGTGCCCAGCTTGCGGTGGATAGTGGCGCACCGCATGCAAAGGAAGATTCCCAACTGAAGAGCCGATGATTATTAGCAAGGTCGTGCGCGGCGCGGAAAGATCATGCGTGGCCGGACGGAGGATCGGGTATGGGGGCTGTTGTTTGTACGGATCACAACCACAAAGAGGGAGAATTATGTAGGTAGACGTACGCTCCATGATGCCCAGGCTGTGGTAGAAGATGGGTTAGTCGGTCGTCCGAGCTCTGAAGCGAAGGGCGGAAGGTGCGGCATGAAGCCATCGTGGAAGGTAATTGGGGGAACATACATGGATTCCGTGCTGAACAATCAGCACAAACATTGTTGCCGGGAGCTTGGGCGAGTTCGTGGAGAACCTTTTCGTTGCGCGCCTGTTGGCGCTTGCTCATTGTTCCCGACATGTCGCGCGAGAACGAGACCGGGCGGGACAGTTGGTTCGGGCTGCCCAGTGTTTGCGCGGAATGTGTCGATGGATTGTCCTGTTTCGGAACGGTTGGATTGTTCGGGTTGGCGATGGGTGTTGGGAGGTCGAGTCGGACGGGAAGTTGTGGTTTGGGATCGCAGTCGAAGTGCGAAGACGAGGTGAAGCGTGAAAGTGCTGTAAGGTAGGATTGCTTGGGATGGACCGGAAGGTTGGGACTCGGGAGCGAGCCGCTAAAACCAGTGGGCGTTCAGGCTGGTGGACAGGGTTACCATAGGTTGCCAGGGGTTGTGACGCCAATTGGGACCCAGTCTTGAAATGCGGAAAAGAGGTCGGACGGCGCGGCCGGTGTTTGTGTCCCCGTCTGGTGTGCTCGGCGCCCGGTGCCCAAGCGAAGATGGGCTCTACTGAACGGGCGGTAGGGGCGGTCCTTGGAAGGGAACGGTGAATATCAACAGCGGACTGCAGCTGCCTCTTTGTGTCTATGACGTTTGAGGTTTCCCCCATTCTTTTTTCATATCCATCCTATACTACATCTTTACCCAAAACAACCTGAATCCTCGTACCGAGAACTGGGTATCATGACGTTCACCTACACTACAGTACCACGACACTATCAGAGACTCACCCTGGCCACTGGGCACCGAGATGCTCACGTCCTCCGCTGGGCACCGGACACCCCTATAAAAGCAAAATAATTATGGCTGATCCTCCAGCCCTTTTCAGTTTAGCACCGCCCGCCAAGTAAGCCAAGTAAGAAGAGGGGTTCCATCTCCCTATTCGTGCTCTGTCTGGCAACATGGGAAGAAAAAGAACAATGTCCCCAGCCAAGGGCAGACCCCTTGCCAGCTGTGATGACCCCCTTTTCCAGTACCCCAACCGACGCCAGTCCATCCCAGCTACCCGTCTTGGCCCTAAATACCATTGTCGTCGGCACCGGATCCCTTGCGGTTGTTTTCCGTCGTCTCAACCGATTGGAACAAAACGACCATAAGCTTGGGTCCGGAGATGGAAACAACAGTTCACAAGATTTGAAAGTCTCGGGTATCGTCGCCATGCCGAATGTGCCGATAGGGTTAGGGTTATATGACGCTCCACATGTCGGCCAACAGTGCCGGTATGGATGTTCGCAAGGTCCGATGTATACAATAACCTTCCACGAAAATCGGGTTCTCATGGGAAAAAAGAAAGCGACCAGATACCTACTCAAACGTGCAATTAACCGACTAACCGTGACTTCTCAAAACGGGGGTTCACGGCAAGACATTTGTGGTGCATTTACATCATCACCGCGCTTACCACGCCCGCCAGGCCCGCTCTCGCCCGCCTATCACCCGACAAATTTGCTCCACCCTCCGGCGATAACACTTACACGTACACGGGCAATCAACAAACCGGCCAACAAGTCAACAATTGCCGATCGTAGAAAGTGCGGATTGCTACTACCATATTGCATCCGACAATGATGACATTGCATGTCCAGTCTTTTATTGCCCGTCTGCTAATACGCCCATTGTCTTCCTTGTGAAACACGGCGAAACATCATCTTCCTCTTACATCAACTTACTTCCCGCTTTCGCCCATTCAAGGAACTAAGCTCAGACGAATGAGATCACAACATTAAAAACGAAGATAACCTCATAACTCCCAAACCACTAGTTACTAGTAACAATATCAACGACAGCAAACACCGATCTCACCGACCCGAAGAACATCACCCTGCGAAAAAACCGATGCACTCATCATCCCTCCTAGCAACAACCCTCACCCTCACCCTCACCTCCACCATGGCCGCCTCTTCCAACAGCACCATCAAGGACAACCTTCTCTTTCCTCCACCACCCCCCTCCGTCATCTCCGCCCCGCAAGTACTCCCGAACGCCTCTATCGAGCCCCCCTCCACCCAATCCATCATCAACTCCCTCTCCCTCACCGCCTTCGTCGAAGGCGGTTACATGGCCGAAACCGATCGGAACCCCCTCGAGATTCCCTCCCCTTTCCCTCTTTATCCCGCCACCACTTTTTCGGATCCCAACCCGGCCGAGGATGGTCCAAACTACACGTTTGATCCTGATTCCTACCGGCCTGGGTTTGACCCCAAGAAGAGGAATGCTTCGACGACTATTTATTACCTCTTAACGGGCGCCGGCAAGGAGGGGAGTGGTGGTTCGCCAAAGGGGTATCTACATCGGAACAGGGGACGGATCATCCATACGCTGCATCGTGGACGGGGGCGGTACGTGGTTTTGCACGCGGATGAGACGCCGTGTAGGGTGGAGAGTTTTGTAGTGGGCAAGAATGTGGAAAAGGAGAAGGTGCAGTGGGTTGTGGACGGGGGCAAGTATAAGGGGACTTTTGTTTTGCCCTTGGAAGATGGGGAGGATGACGATGAGATGGTTTTCATTTCGGAGACGACAGTGCCGGGGTGGGAGGTTTTTGACCATGACTTTTTGGATCGAAAGGGGTTGGAGATGTTAATGGAAGGGGATGAGGAGAAGATTAGGCAGTTAGAGTGGTTGGTCAAGCAGGAGGAGTGAGGACTTTGGGACGAGTTCAGGGGAAGAATGGTGATAGTGTTGGTTAGGTGCGTGGATGACGGACAGACATTTGTATGGGTTAAGTCTGGAGGAGATGGCGTCATCTCAGGAGTCACTCGCGTTGAAACCGCAGAAGTGGGGTGGATGGCAAATTCAAACAACTCAGTGTTGGAATTCCGAGCTTTCAAGTTCTTTTTGCCTTTTGATTGCCTTGCCTTATGAAACGACATCCGGTTTTCGGCCCCAGACAACATAGATCTTCATGTACGCATGGACATTCCTGTCGAACATGGAATTCCGTACGTCTACCAGGTCGACCTAGTATTTTCATAAACAAGAGAGGTCAGCAGGAGAGTTCTCCTCGAATCTCACCAGGGCAAAATCAATGCGACAGAAAACTCACCTCGACCTGTTCTACCGTCTTTCCACCAAACCGATGCAGCAACCCAACACTTAAACCACTCAGTCCGCCTGACAGATTCCTCTGCCAAAGCATTCCGAGGTGTTTCAACCTTGGTTCCTTAGCCCACCCGCCCACGGGAAGTTTCAAGACCATCTGCTGCACATCCACAAATCCAACCTCCTCCAGCCACTGCTTGATATCGTCGCCAATGATCAGCTCTCGATCCGCAGCCCTGGACGCTACGTCCATATCTTGAGCCCACTGCAGCAGCTTGTAGTCATCCGTCATGCTGCCGTCGTCGCATACTGGGAGCACGTTCAGCTCCTGGCACTCGAGCCACCCGCCCGGTTTTAGGTGATCGAATGCTCGTTGGATAATTTGAGACTTCATATCTGACCAGCAACCGAGGGTGTATCGGGTGTGGATATAGTTGAAGTAGTTGGGAGGATATATCCACTCTTCGGATCTGGTAGGATCGGTTAGTGTTAGTGATCGAAAAATGGGAACTGGGACCTATTATGGAAGCTTACGAATCTTCCACGAAAAATCGGACATTTGGCGGAACGAGATCGGGTTGAACAGGTGAGAGGTCGGTCCCGATAATCTCGGCCTCGGGGAACTCATCGCCCATGTCGATGGCCCAGGTGCCAGTACCCGTCCCGATGTCCAGCACCTTTCTTGGGGAGTTTTTACGAGAGAAGGGCGCAAAGTAGTTGCGACCCTCCATCACCTCTTTGGCGATTGCATATTGGTCATCTAGACGCTCAGTCTCGGTAGGGTCGTTGGGGTAATGGTAAGCTATATATGCGTTATTCGAGGTTAGCAGCTAAAGCCAGATGATTCTGGGGTTTTGCGTTTGGAAGAATGCCTGAGAATTAGACGATATTATGTGAAACTTACACCCCGCGCGATAGGAATGGTATGTTCTCCCAAATTCTTCCTCGTACTTGGAGATGCTCTCTGAGAGGGAAACGGAGTCACTTCAGTTGTAAAGCGTTAGAGAGGATGACATGTGAAAGTTTGCCGATCACCTCGGAAAAAAAGGTTCTCCATCATGGGTGATTTGGGGGAGTGTGATTTACTATATGTCGCGGCTAGAGCTAGAGTGGTCCGACTGCATATGAAGAATGTCAGTACACTATGTTGAATCCCAGGACATCTGGTTCATCAGGGTACTAACGTCAGCCTCGATGTTTCGTGAGGATGAGTCTAGGTATGTTTCGAAAGTGAACTGATAACCATGAAGACCACCATTGCTCGGAAGAAATGTCATGGTCGTAAGAAGCCAAGGGGTGGATGAAAATGGATAGGCGTTCGACACAAAAAGGGTTCAGAAGAGAATCGAAAGAGCAGAGGAAGAGGAGAAAGAGAGAGAGAAAAACAAAAAAAAAGTGTTTCCGGGAGAGGAGAGGAAGAAAAGACAAGTATGATATATCCAACCCCAGTCGAAAGGACGACTGTGGGCGGTACCGATTGGGTGGGACACGGTAGTCGAAGGTAGGAGGGGGAGGAAAGGCTCCGAGAAAGTTTGGGAAGCTTGACGAGGCGTCCCAGCAATCTGGGTCAACCCTATCGACGGGATCCAAGGACTGGGAAGCATCGAGGTCCACCCTCCGATGGTGTGGGTGGAAGCGAGTCAACTGTCCGGGGTTGGGAATCTGGCACACCTCACACATCTGGGGCACGTTCCAATTTTCGTCCATGGAATCCGTTTCCCATACAAAATCGACCCCTGCTATTGATATGCAGTTAATTACACTGTATAAACACTGTATAAAAGCACTTAAACTCTCAAAAAGTACTATTTCTACTAAGAAGCCCTATTCAACTTCTATAGCACCCTTATAATCTACTTGTTGCTTACATATATCCTAGTTATATTCTTAAAGAATAATGTAAAGCGCTAGAAGTGATTAACTACAATACTTACAAAAAAAATATTTTCATTATTAATCGGGCTTGTCACGGAATGTACTCGGGTGCTTCTTCTGAAACAAACCATATAAGACTACTTGAGCGACTGAACTGCCAGCTTTTGATTACTTGTATCTTTTTAAAATATAACTTAGTAGTATAGTGGTCTGCCAGCGCCGTGACAGTATTGTAATAAGTTAATATATTGCAGCGGTACTTTACTAAAGGTAATAATATTGATAGGGAAGTTCTTTTATTTTAGACAGGATATCCGTATACGAAAGCTATTATAAATTAAGTTATTTAAGCCAAAAGTATTATTGTTAATAAAGTTAACCATTGTTTGCTGCAATGCCCTAACTAGCCTATAATAATAGCACCAGTATAGAGATGCTACAGTGAACTATGCACTTGTAGCAGAGCGGAGCGGAAGCGGTAAGAAGTACGACAGCAGTACTGAAGAAAGCGGCGTAGTAGTAAAGATAATAGATGGATATGACAGGCTAGGGTGCATATGCCCAGACGGCCAAACCTACAAAAGATAAGACGATGTTCTGCTTGCAAGGCAAAACTCGGAATGTATACTATATAGCTAATGTCAACCTGTGACAGTAGATGTTGTAAAAAAGGTCTTAAAGAGAACTCTGCTCTCAAAATAAAAGAGTACAGTGAACTCTGCACTATAAGAAACAACTATTATAGTAAACTCTGCATTATAAGAGTAGACTGTATTATATTGCTTTGATTGTGCTTGCTTGCTTAAGGAGTAACTAACTAAAGAAGAGAAGCGGTCTTTATATACACGAACGTTAAGTATTTAGAACCTTCCAGAGTGTAGGAGCTTCTGTAAGTTGATAGGAGCGCTTGTAAGAGCTGTAAGAATTCTACGAGGTATGCACGCAGGTAGGCCTTGGTGAAAGTGATAATATTCGACAAAGAGGAAAAGGGAAGTCTGTGCCAGCATGGCATGGAGCTTACAGCTAATATACAAGAGAGGTGCGGATATCGAAGGTGCTAGAAACGCCAAGGTCGAAAACGTGGTTCGTGCGGCGCACCCCAGGAGTGCACCCAGTCGGAGGGCAGGCCTGGCTTACATAGAGTTCAAGCCAGGCAAACACTCCTAGGCGCCAGCCCCATGACAGAGCACTATACCATGAAAGAAATGAACTGAATCTATGAGCTTTTGGTACATTCTATGATGACAAATTAGTCTAGAAGCAATGCTGAACAAGTTAGAGAATCTAAAATACAGTAGCAAAACTTCTGTATTCTAGTATGTTCTGTGGAGCCTGAGTGGACTGATTTCGTAGAAGGAATAGTTCAATCAGCCTTCTATATACTACAAGGTAGTATAAGATAGTTACAAAGCACAGGACTAGCTACATGTTAACAACAATATTAAAATAGTTGGAAGATATAAAAAAGTAGAATAATAAATCATTTAATAGAAGAACAAAAACAATGAAAAATTACAAAATAAGTATTGAAAGATTTTGATTAATAATATTATTACGTTAATATTTATATTTATACTTAATTCAATTCCTCTCTTCTTTGTTCAATTAAGTATTCGAAATTTATGATTTATATTAACTTGCTATTATTACTAGTAATAAAGCTCTTATACGCTCAAAAGTATAGCTGCTGCAATTTGCCCGATTCCAACTATTATTATAGTAGATTATTATTTATATTCCTCTTTTCATCTTCCTAAACCTTTATAGTTAACACTATTAACTACTATAACTGGTAACCGCGTAAATAATATAGTGTTTCATACTGTAAGGGTTCTACGAGGTATACACACAGGTAGGCCTTGGTGAAAGTGATAATATTCGACAAAGAGGAAAAGGGAAGTCTGTGCCAGTATGGCATGGAGCTTACAGCTAAATACACAAGAGAGGTGCGTATATCGAAGGTGCTAGAAACGCCAAGGTCGAAAATGTGGTTCGTGCGGCATACCCCAGGAGTGCACCCAGTCAGAGGGCAGGCCTGGCTTTCATAGAGTTCAAGCCAGGCAAACACCCCTAGGCGCCAGCCCCATGACACATACAACGGTTTCTAATTATAAAACGAACGTATTTATTTATAAATAACTTCAATATTGAGTTCGTTGTAGTATTGACAGTCTTATGACATTATAACAATATTCTCTATTAAAGATTTTGATGATGGTTTATACTCCTATTGTAAAGACTCGCTTACAGCGCATGCAGGCGCTGCTATATAATAAAAAAGAGAAAAAAAAAAGAAGAAAAAAAATGGTACAAACCTATCCCTATCAGTATTGCAGATTTTACCTTTGTATACAGATTAACAGAATGGATTCTATGGACGAAAATTGGAACGCGCCCCTGAATGTGGAACGGACCCAGCAGTCTGGTGCGTACAAAGGCATGGGAGGCACGTGGGGGGGGGGGGGGGGACCGCGCATGGAGGGTACCATTTGACGCACTCGGCGTATTCAGTACCACTGGTACCACTGGGCCACGAAGCCCAATGAGGCATGAATCCGCGGGATGAAGCGGCTGGAACCACCGCATCTTTGAGTTCCCCACCGACTCTTCCAGGGTCAGTCTTTTCAGGGCTAAGGTAGGTATTCTAGGCCCTTGGAATCATGAACCGGCAGAAGAGGGTACGGTCCGATTGTGAAAGTCGATTGTGAAGGTCGATACAGGTCGTCTGTCTTCTGATGTTTTCATATCCATCCATAGTGCACAGGGAAGGACAGAACCATGTCGGTCCGAGGCGAGAAGTGAATATAGTGTCCAGGATGGCGCATATGAGAGATAGGTATGGAGATGGTCAGTCCAAAGAAGGGCCTCCAAAGGTGTTCGCATTGCTGTCCTTGCCAGCTCATATCCATGGAAAGCAGAAGCCGGCTGTACGGCAGAAGCATAAATGAAACACATCTGCAGTGGCATTGGCAGGCCTACGATGCACATCTGTGGTGTAGGTGGGATGGCTGCTACTTTGTCTGCAAGTCGTGGACGGACAACGTGGTCTGAAGAGTTGAAAGGGAAGGTTGCTTTTCTCGCTTCACTGCACTGAGCACGAATTTGCGCAAAGTGGTCCATCGGTGAATGTGGCGGGTGTTGAATTGTCAGGCGCAAATCTTCACTTGTCATTAAACTTCCGTAGCAAGTGGAAACAAAGTGAAGAGAGGTGAAGAGAGTTCCTTCCTTTGGATAACTCTGGCTGCAGCGGCCTGCATGCCCTGAAATTGAGTGCGGAAAGTGGGGGCTGAGGGGTGCCTTATCGCCTTTATCGATACAGCAGGCGCAGGCCAACCGCCAAACATCCGTTGGAATTGCATATCTTCCCGCCCTCCGACTTCCCCTCCTCTTGTGAATGATCATCATCTCCCACTGTCTTGTTGCAAGGTATGTCTTAGTCTATACCAATTAACGAGGATATCATGATACCGGTACAGACGGATATTAGCAGACCACTCGAGAACATTAGAGATCATTAGCCTTCAAACATTCGTCAACACACTAAGCCATCATATAAGTAGTAGAAAGCATGCCGCTCTCATGCACGCCATGCGGCCGATATAACCTGTAGCTGAACTTGACCCAAAAACCAACCAAATCGAACCGGACATCATCCCGCCATCAAAGGAACAGCATCGCCATGGCAGCAGCAAACAACACACCTTCTCTACCGGATCACATGCAGCCCGCCTACGTGGACAGGATCCTCAAGCCACTGGAAAGCAGGATTTCCGAACTCCTCGATGAGTTTTGCCCATCCAGTCAGGGAGCCGAGAGGCTGAACGATATAAAAAAGCTGGTGGTCAATTACGTAGTCCTCCAGATCCTCACGCAAACCTTCGACCCCAACCTCTGCGTCACGCCTCGCCCAAAGGATCTGGCCCACGCCGAAGCGTGGGTGGAAAACTACTGCCACGATTCGTCCATCCACCTTGGCGGCGAGCCGCCGCAGATTACGGGTCTCGCCGGCCATGGCAAGGAGTTCTACTCGACGCTCACGCACATCATAGCCGACATCGTGCCGGCCCTCAACTCGCAGGCGCTTTCCTCGCGCTACTACGGTTTCGTGACGGGCGGCGTTCACCCTGTGGCGCAGGCGGCTGATAATGTGGTCACGGCACTCGATCAGAACGTGCAGGTTCATTTGCCGACGACGCATTCTATAAGTACTGTCGTGGAACACCATGCTCTTTCGATGCTCCGCTCCCTCTTGGCTCTGGACGGGTTTCAGGGTAAGACCTTTACTACTGGCGCAACGGCAAGCAATATCATGGGCCTTGCATGCGGGCGGGAGGCGGTTATCTCGGCAAGGCTGCCTGACTACGCAAAGACGGGAGGAGTAGGCGAGCTGGGGCTCGTGGGTGCGTGCATGGCAGCGGGTGTGAGGGAAGTACAGATTTTGACGAGCAAAGGTCACTCGTCACTTTACAAGGCGGCGAGTGTCGTGGGGTTGGGAAGGGCGGTGGTTAAGATTTGGGGGTTCCCAGATACGCCCTGGGTGTTGGATCTGAAGGCCGTAGAGCGGGAGCTCAAGCGCGAAGGAGTGGCGAGCCTCATCGTGGTGAGCGCGGGAGAGGTGAATACCGGGCAGTTCGGGACGAGTGGCAATGCCATGAAGGAGCTGAGGAAGTTGGCCGATCGATACAAAGCGTGGATCCATGTTGATGGAGGTAAGTTCCCGTTACGCACCCCATCAGTTGAAGGTTGCCTTCAAAGACGCGGTACGGCAATAGTGATTTGCTGACGGCGGTATGGCGATATGAAACAGCATTTGGGATATTTGCTCGCGCTCTTCCCAAGGTCGACAGGTTCGCCAAACTTCGTGAGAGGACGGCTGGCCTCGAGTTGGCGGATAGTATAGCCGCTGATGGTCACAAGTTGCTAAACGTGGTAAGTCTTCATCGCTCAGTCTCTCTCAAAAACCCGGCCCTCTGACGTCGAGTCTTCTTTAGCCATACGACAACGGCATCTTCTTGTGCAGTAAACCTGAAGTTATGAGCCAAGTTTTCCAGAACCCCAACGCGGCATACCTAGCGCCAGTAGCCTCAACGTCAAGATCTGGTACCGACACCGAGATTCAAAGCCCCTTACACGTAGGCCTAGAAAACTCGCGAAGGTTCCGTGCCCTTCCTGTGTATGCTTTGCTTCTACACCTCGGCCGCGAGAACATGGGAGAAATGCTGGCGAGGATGGTTGACCTAGCACGGGAAATCGCCGCCTTTATCCGGGACTCGGACAAGTACGAGTTGCTTCCAGACGAGACAGGAGCTGATATCGAATGCACGCATATCATCGTCTTGTTCAAGGCGAAGAATCCTGACCTTAATGAGGTCTTGGTGGAAAAGATCAACGAGACAAGGAGGATGTATGTGAGCGCGACAAAGTGGAACGGCGAGAATGCGGTGCGCATTGCGGTGGGAAGTTGGAAGGTTGATGTTGAAGAAGATTTTAAAGCAGTGAAGTCCGTGTTGAACTCGCTATAGTGTCTATAGATGTATCCCATCCAATATGTGGTGGACGTTGTCGATGAGTCGAAATATCGTCTAAAGCGATGACGTGCGCGGTTGAAAGGCGTCAAAACATCTTAAATTACTTGACCAAGCTGTTGATGAGGTTATGATGAAGCCGATAGTTGTTGTCTGATACTGGACATCAAGGAGAGCTCCATTCCATGTCAAGTTGACCCTTGTTTTCCATCCGGTTGTTGTCCTCTGATGATTTGATCTGATCTGCCCTTGGGCTCTGCCATTGTATCTCTGGGGAAATGTGGACCACTGGAAGCTCTGGAAGCCATAATATGCGCCAATTGAGGCTTCTTGTCGACAGTAAGCTTGATAAATGCATATCTAGCAGCTAGTAGGAGCTAATGAAGGCAGGGGCTGGCAAAAGACACATTGCAGACTCGTGCCAACACTTTCCCGTTCGTCAGAGTCGCGTCTTGGCTGCCAAGAGGACCCGCACTTCGTCCCGCCGCCCGTCCCCAGTTCCGCTGGAGCTCAGGTCACTCCCTGGTTGGGTCCAGTGTTCGCCGCCTTTGGGACACCTCACGCTTCTAGATATTTGGCCTTGAATTTCCACTTCCCTTCTGCTTCCTCCTTTCTTTTGCTTCGTCAACCCAATCTCTATCTCCTTGTTTCCCGGTTTCCTCCCCCACGCCAGTCATCATGGTCAACTTCAAGTGGTCCTCTCTCGCCCTGCTCGCTCTCCGCGCTGTCTCTGTCTTTGCGCAAGAAGAGGTAAGCCCTTGATTCCCTTCCCAGCTGTGTTCTCGTCGGGAACAGCTCGGACCTAGCTATTCAGCTAGTTATGACCGCATCATAGCTTCTCCCCGCTTCCTCGTCCCACTAGTTGCTAACCACCAGCACTTTCTATAGGCTTTCGGCGATGATGCGACCACGGTTCCCGTCTCGCAGCCCGAGCTGAAGGCTGATGTCCAGACCACCTTCCCCGATGCCGACATCTTCGGTGTCAAGCTCGTGAACGGCAAGGTCACCAGGGCTCTTATCGACATCACCAACCAGGAGGAGGGCCCCATCCAGGTCGCCTTCGTTGGCGGTGCCCTCAAGACCACTCGTCCCCTGCCCGAGGACGCGCCTCTCTACACTTCGATTGTGCGCAACTTGACCGCCACTCGCTTCCAGACCGAGATCCCGGCTGGCGAGAAGCAGACTCTTCCCTACAACTTTGTCTTGGATATGATGCCTCAGGATGTCGTTGTCGAGCTTATTGCCGTCATCACCAACCCCGCCGGCGAAATTTTTGAGATCCAGCTGCACAACGGTCCCGCCGCCATTGTTGAGGCCCCCACCAGCATCTTCGACCCCCAGATGTGAGTTCTTTTGCGCTCACAGCCGATGGATTGACGGGGCATGTGTACTGACCCATTTTCCTATGTAGCATCTTCCTCTACCTCTTCCTCACCGGTGTCTTCGGCGCTACCCTTTACTTCGTCTACAAGACCTGGATCGAGGCTCTCTTCCCCCAGGCTGTCAAGAAGACCAAGGCCCCCAAGAAGGTCAAGAAGGTCGAGGTCTCCGAGCCCCTGTCTGGTTCTGAGTCGGCCGGTGCCACCTCTGGCGGCGAGAAGAACTTTGACGAGAGCTGGATCCCCTCGCACCATCTTAACCGTCCCGTTGCCCGCCGCGTCAAGAGCGGTGCCAGCGCCAAGTCTAAGAAGGGCGATCTATGAACGGGAATCCGGCAAACACTTTTGTTTTGCAGTTTTCGTTTAATGACACCTTTATAAAAACCTTTAATGACGTGGAATTGTGGGGATCGGTCATGTTCTCCTTATGTCTTTATATACCGGGAGCCGGTGGTTGTCTAGACCACCAACAGGCGTCTTCCTTTATGCCAAAATTCTGTAAGATTGGTCTAGGGTTAAGCTCAACATTACGGTGGGACACAGGAAGCTGGTGACACGATGGGAAATGGGATCCTGCGAGCCGAAATGCTTTTGAGTTTGGAAAAGGTGGAGCGCGACAAGCAGCACACCAACTCAAATCATACCGGAGTCAAGGGAAAGGCGCAGAGATTTGTACCATATAACGACGATTAAGATATATGAAATGGCTAATTATGCACGTGGGCCGACGGGGTTGCTCACGATGCTGGAGGAACAAACAACTTTCACGATCCCATCGCGCATGCTTGAATTGTCATAAGAGATGATGTCAAAAAAGGAGAGGAGCAGGCACGAGATGGCATGACGCCGAAAGGAAGAGACACTACCGATCATAACATAAAGAGTGCCAGGTATAATTATGCCCATACTTCAGACCTGACACAGAACTGGGACCACGCAAGACCGCGACCGGTCGCTGTGACGCAAACTAGTGGATATAACCGCTGTGCTTTTAACCAGAAATTTAGTCGAAGTTGGAGAGGAGACAAACGAACGCTCTTACGCTCGCAATAATATGACATGGGTCGTATCCATCTTCGGAAAGAACCGAGAACGGGGACCAAGGTTCCTCCTGCCCAGAAAGGGGTTGTTGTTGGGTGGGAGGAGACGGGACCGAGACCAGGACGCCCCCATGGGGGAAGGGTCCAGGCATGTCGCGTCAAGTGACAGCACACGCCTTTGGGCCTGCTCGCTCTCGCTCCTGCGGCAGCACCAGAACCCCGTCCGAAATAAATCAAAACAAAAATCATTCTCTTCTCCTATAACAAAAAAACCACCCGGCCAACCTTCTCCATCCTCAGAATTCCACGGATATATCAAAAATTCGTTGCAACTGGATCGTGGCCATTTTTTCCTGATTTTTTGTTTTCGGTAAGTGCGCGTGCTGCTTTTCGCATTTTCACTCTTTTTCCCCATCCACGCACGACCTCCACTCGCCCAGTCCGCCCACCCTCCTTTGCTTGGCCGACGCGCCATTCACGTTGCCCAACCACCATAAACTAACCGTTTCCATAGTAAATAGAAGAATTCCAAGTAAAGAACAATAGCATCCGGATTCACTCCAATCACTATGGCGCCCACCAAGCCCCAATCTGAAGAGCAGCCCGTCAAGCGCGGCCGTGGCCGTCCCCCCAAGGACCCGTCCGAGAGGAAGGCTGTTGCCCCCCCTAGTGGTCGCCCTCGTGGCAGGCCCAAGGGTAGCGGTGGTGTGAAGAAGCCTGCTCAGAAAACTGCTGCCAGCACCATCTCTCGCCGCGGACGTCCTCCCAAGGCTGCTGCTGCTGCCACCCCCGTTGCCGCCAAGAAGAAGGCTGCTACGCCCAAGGCTTCTGCTTCCAAGGCCACCCCCTCTTCCACTGGCAGAGGTCGCGGTCGTCCTCGCAAGTCGGATGTCAGCGAGGCTGCCGCTCCCATCTCCAAGAAGGCTACCCCCAAGAAGAGCACGACACCCAAGAAGGGCGGACCCGGCAGACGTGGCCGCCCCCCCAAGGCTGTGACCGAGGAGTCTGCCGAGGAGGATGCGGAAGAGGCCGAGAAGGCCGCCTCTGATGCTGCCTCTGACGTCGACGAGGCTGCAAGTGAGTAAAAGTAGCCTCATTTTGGCTCCCAAATCTGAACTCTTTCATGAACGGTTCCGGCGAGTCTTCATCTTTCTCATTCGCGCTGCGCTGTGTCATTCTTATTTTCTTTAGATACCAAGACAAAATTACCTATCCTTTTCCTATTCTTTCACTCCTACATTCCATGTCTCCATAGGTACATGCCGCCGTGCCATGCCCTCTTCCTCATACATCACCGGAACCCAAAGTGCCAACTAGCGAATGCCCCTCTGACTTTCCCACTCCACTTCAGACTTCGATGACGATTTCAAGGATGCCGACGGTGACGTAGATATGGACTTGAACGGTTCGGGTCCTGTTGACATCGAAGCAACTGGTAAAGAGGTTCGTACGAGCACCAGCAACCCACAAGGCAGCTTTTCATTCAATGGCATCCTGTAAGAAACATCCTGTTGCACGACCTCTTTGTAACTAACCGCCACTTGAAGGACATCCCCATTGATAGCGCTTAGTGGTCGACTTTGGGCAATGAGTCCGGAGAAGAAGAACAGACAGAAGGAATAGTAAAGGAGGAGTCAGAGGAGGAGGAGGAAATTTTGGACTGCATAGTGGTTTGCCTGAGCTCGGATCCTCCAGAACCACCATCGCCGTCGTCTCAACCGCCGTTCCCACCACCAGAGACCCCGGAACCACCACCGCGTATAAAGCAGGAGCAAGAGCAAGATTATTTTCCGTCATTATCTTTTTCATCATCTTTTTGGGATTTTCAAGCGTCTTCACCACCAGCACTACAATCCGACCCAGTACCACACTTCGACCCAGTACCGGACGAAATCGATCGAGGAGACGAACAAGCGGACCAGGACGAAGTCAAATCGCCGCCTGAGTCCTCAACGTCGTTGTTTGTTTATCAGCCAGATTCATCCCCAGAGCAGGCGCCAGAGCGGGACACGGTGGCAAAGACCGGCTTCAGACGGAGGGAAAGGGATAATGAGTTAGAAAGCGCAGGTCTAGGGTGTATCGTTAGCTGACAATGGATTTTGGGTTCGAGCGTACTGAGCGTATACTTGTTGCGATATTCTGTCATAATATCTCGGAGTTTTCAGGCGGCTGCAAGCGAAGATTTGTTACCATTCAGTCTGTCTAAAAGTTAAGTTGATTTGCATTGTTGCCATCGTTTTCATCAAGGCTCAAGAACACAAGACGCTGATGGATCCTTCATCCATCCCAAGTATGCTCTTCGACCCAACCTTAAGCTATCATTAACAGTTCATGATAAGACCGTTGTACCTAACTCATCGATAAACAACAAGCCCCCAATAACAGCAATCGAGTATGACCGCTTTGAAAAACTCTGCGCCGATCCCATGTTTGAAGTCCCGTTTGCTTTGCCCAATTGTTCCGTCCATGTTGCCGATCCATCCAAAAACAAAACAAAAAAAAAGTGCGTAACTCCCTTAACCTAACCCAACCACCGTCCCTTTTGTAGACGCAAGAATGAAAGAAATAAGAGAGAAAAGAAATCGTTAATCCGGTTATCAGTCATTATGTATGGACTTGTCCTGCACCCGTATAGCATATGCCTCCACTAAAAGCAATAATAAAGTAGCGTCGTTCTCCTTCCTCGATATGGATAGATAGTTGTTGCCGTAGCCGCTGAGGTCACCTCAGACTTAAGTCGCCGCTGCCACCACCGTCGTCGCTGTGCGCCGTCATTCTCCCTTCACATGTAATCCCGCTTCCCCCACCCGGCCAACCTCAACCACACTACCAGTGGCACTCTCTTTCCTTCTCACGCGGAATGATTTCCCCACCTGCCCCTTAGCGGTGGCAGAATGCTGGTTGTTGTTGTTGTTGTTGTTGTTGTTGTTGTTGTTGTTGTTGTTGTTGTTGTCGTTTGTACCTCGCTCGCGATACCGCTGCTCTTAATTGAAGTTGTTATTGCTCCCGTCATTATTGCTGTTCCCATGTTGATGGTGGCTTCTACTCGGACCAGGGCCGCCTAAGCCATGTACTTCTGCGGCCGCGACGGCGGCGCCACTGGCGGTTCCGTCCATGAAAATCAGTTGGTTGTTGTGATTGTTGTTGTTTGTGTAGTCAACTGAGCCGTTGTTGTCGCCTCCGTAGCTGTAGTCGCCGTCACTGGAGGAGACGCTCATGGGTGCTAGGCGGGCTATTGCGTGGTTGTTGTTTTGTTGTTGCTGGTGGTCTGACGGACCAGCTTCGAGTCTCGGGTCGATTTGGTAGGCCGACTCTTGTTGCTGTTGAGGTTGATGCTGTTGTTGCCAGATATGACCAGCGTTCCTCGAACTGCTGCTCGCTCCGGATATCCCGTTAGAATCGCCGCCCAATGCATCCTCCGCCCGCAACGGGCTTCCCTTTAAAGCCCAAGGAGTTTCCAAATCCCCACCCGCCGGCACCTCGGGCCACTCAGGCGCCCAATCCGGTTTGCGGTCGTACATGGACTCGCACACCTGCCTGTCGCCCTTCAGGATCATGCCGTTCAAGACCTCCTTCAACCACGCCATACCCTCCCTGTACTGCGCCGCACTCGGGTAATCGCTCACTTTGGCAGACCTTACCTCCTCCACCATCCTCATTGTCTGGTACCGCGGCTGCTGGTCCGAATTGGGCACCAACACGCGCTTCCTGACCTCCAGAGCAAAGTACACGCAGTCACTCGGCTGAGGCTGCCACTGACATACAGACCCGGACCCGAAATGCACGCCAACTCCTCCTTCGCCGCCGTCGTTGTCGTTGTCGGGAGCGCCCGTGAATACGGGGATCCGGCTGTAACCCAGAACGCGCATGTAAGCCCAGTAGGCGCCCGAGATGGTGCCGTGCAGGATCCGCCAGCAGCTCAGGAAGCGCGTCTGGCAGATGAAGGCCTCGACGGTGCCCGGGTCGGGAAACTTGCCGATGCGCGTGTTCAGCTCGATCGAGCAGTTGCTGGCCTCGGCCATCTTCTGCACCTGCTCGAACCAGATGTCGAAGGAGCCGTAGAAGGTGAGCGGGTGTACAGGCATCTTGTAGCTGAATTCTAGCGGAGTCGTCCACCCTCGGTAGTTGTCGGCCGGTTCGCAGATGCGCGGCTGAGCGGACAGGTAAGGGGGCAGAGGGGGCATCCTGTAGATGTCATCGGCGTGCCCCTGCGGCGGCGACGCAACTGTTTGGTGAGGAGGTCTTAGGATTGGCATGTCCCTGGTATCTTCCCGATGTTCTCCATTTCCGTCATGTGGCAGTGGTGGTTGGACTTGTTGGGCAGGTTCCTGGGCAGGCTCAGGAGCGGTTCGGGATGATGTAGCTTTTCGTTTCTTCGAAGGCGGCTGAGAGGGTGGAGGAGGAGCAGGAGCTTCTGGTGGAGGTCGTCTACTCCTCAGTTGCCGACCTGAAGACGACATGGTGTTGCTATTGTCTGTGGGTTCGGTAAATAGGTTCACGGCTGGGAGGGTTGGATCTTCAAGGGTTTGACTATTCGGTGGTGCTGACTGTTGTGGCTGTTGAATTTGACCTGGAGCTGGAGCTGGAGCTGGAGCTGGAGCTGCTGAGGTCTGGCTTTTGTGCACACCAACGTATGAGGGAAGCGGCACTGGAGTCTCGCGCACGACGTAGCCAGCCCGTTTGTGGTTATTCTGATTGCTGTCGCTACTCATGTTGGTGAGGTGAAGATGAAAACAGTGGGAGTGTACGAGCAGACAGAAATGAACACACGACGAGGGCCTGCTAGGACAAACAAGGCAGGAGGGGACCACAAGCTGGAGGTAGTATCCAACTACACTACTACAGTAAAAAGGAATACCAAGATTTAGTGTAGATGTAACAGGATCTCGGTAACCCCGCAGTTGAAGGTAGTAGTTTGACAGTGTCCTAGATAGGTATGATGTGGTGGTGGACGAGACTGAGCAGTGAAAGTTGCAATTCACTTACAACAGACTTCGGATGATAGTGGCAGTTATCGAGATGCAAAGAGATGGAACCTGAGGTGTGCCCCACCAGGAGAGAAGGGCAGAGGACAGAGAGAAGCGGACGGAATGCGGGATCAAACTTGACACGAAGAGGACCTGATGCAGAGTTATGTAGTCCGGCGGGAGACGCGCTTGCCTTGATGCCCGTGAATGTTTACACAGGACGGAGCCTTGCGGTCCCGGGCCGAAGGTGGTACAAGCCTGCTCACAGACGAAAAGTCCCTGGTAAGAAATCGCTGGTTCGCATTTTGGAAAGTAGACGGGTGGTTCTCGGGTGAACCATTTCTGATTTGTTCAAATATCTTGGATAGCTGGAATGGTTGTAAAAGGTAAAGTGCAGCACGAACCCCTCCCGGTCCCAACTCTCAGCTTGTGTCCCAATCAAGTTACCGCTATGAACCCTAACCACAACCCTAATAGCACCGTGACATTCAATGGCCCCACTCCTCTCGTACGTAACCCGAAGAACCTTACCAAGAAGTTCCTGGACAATGGCAGTTGTTTGCTGCAGCTTGCCATGCTTAACCTTTTTGATGCTTGTGAAAAAGAAAGGCAATTCATACGTCTGCTGGAGTAGTGGGATAACAAAGGGGACATGAGCATCCTATGTGGCGATCTTCACAATACAGGTACCAACTGATAAGTCACACTACCTAATGCGGACCCACTTTGAGTACAGCGCTGTCTCTGCAGTGACTCTGTCGCCAGGTCCTGCTTGGTTTTTTTTGCCGTCAACGGTCACGGTGCTGCCGTCAAACCACAGGGATCGATTTTCTTGTCTGTCTGGCAAACCAGCAACTACAACCGGACGACATAGCACTCTCAAGTCACTTACCGCCTTCGACTTCTCCAGTTGATTGTGGACTTGATTGTATCACCTATCTTTAATCATATCGGGCCAGATATCTCCGGCCCTGTTTTCCTCACTCAATTTACGAGCCCCGACAGAAATGGACAGCGGCGCAAGCGTAGGTCAAGTTCTTGTGGGTGTCATTCGCCGCGGCCAACTCTTCGGCTTCAACTTTTTCCTTTTCTGCAACGCTTGAAGCGGATGAGTGATTTTCGAAAACACAAAACACCAAAATTTTATCGTGAAAGGAAGTCGACACTAGCGTCGCAAATATGCCCCCCAAGAAAGGGACCAAAAGTAGCCAGGCCAAGGCCCAGAGTGCCCCTGCGCCTGCAGCCGCTTCATCGTCGGCATCTCAGCCCGCCTCCAAATCCAAAAAGGACTCCAAGAAGGCTGCTGCTGGCCCATCAGACGGCGACTTTATTGTCTTCAGCAATTCCGACAAGGACCCCAAGAAAAGGGGCGGAGCCAAAGCCGGTCCCTCCAAGCCCGCAGAGGAGCCTGATGCCGGGCCCCCGAAGCCGACTATTAAGCAAATCATCGGTGGCCAGTCTTGGACCGGCAAGCTACCCGTCAACCTTCTTTCGGAGCACTGCCAGAAACAAAAGTGGGAGAGGCCTGACTACAACACCCACAAGACCAACGATGGTTTCTCCGTCTTCGTTACACTAAGTGCAAAGAACCCAAAGACCCAGGAAGTCACTAAGCTGCCGCCATTCAAGCTGCCTCCCAGCCATCTTCACCTTATCTACAGGCCCACTGCTCTCGAGGCCAAACATGCCGCCGCCACCTACGCCCTGTACCGCGTTTGCAGCATGAAGAACATGCACATGACGCTCCCACCAGACTATAGGTCGCTCTGGAAGGAGTTTGAGGCCCTCAAGAAGCAGGATGTCAAGGAGGGCAAGGCGTGGATGTACGAGGCCGACCCTTTCCAGGCTCTGAGAGAGCGCGAGGAGGCAAAGGCGGCCGCCGAGAAGAAGAGAGCTCAGCTTCAGGCTGCCAAGGAAAAGGCTGCGAACGAACCCGGTGTTTCCTTGGCATTCAGGGGCAGCGGCTCCGGAGGCGGAGGAGGTGGCGGCGCCCACAATGTCATGAGGGGGTGGGCCAATGTTCCCAAGATTGAGATGGGCAACAAGACTCGATCGCAGCTTGAGGATCTGCTCCGTAGGGAGACGGTCTGGAATCCGAATGGTGTGGTTATGTCGGCGTCGCAAAAGGCTGCCATCGTTAAGGAGTTCAAGGACTTGGGATTCCGCCGAAGCCATATCGAAGAGGCCGTTGAGGAGTGCAAGGACAGAGAAGAGGCCTTGGAATGGCTCTTGGTCCATATTCCTGAAGATGATCTTCCGAGATGGGCGCTTCCTGAGAAGTATAGCGCTGGTGTAACTGTGGCCGCCACAGATCTCAAGAGAGAGGGTGCCATCACGCGACTCGCTCAGTCCGGATACTCCATTGACCTCTGTCGCAAACTCCTGGCGCTCCATAACGGAGATGAGGCGAAGGCAGCAGAAGACCTGCAGAAGCTTCTTCTGGCCAGTGGCTCCGAGTCCGCTGATAACTCTTCTGCGGACGCAGATGGTCTAGACACCTGGAGGGATGCCGATGAGTGCTGGGAAGAGGAGATGGCTACGTTGGAGGCATGCTTTGGGGACAAGTTTTCCAAGATTTCTTCAGAAGTCTGCGAGATCAAGTTGGAGGGCGTCAAAAATGGCACTCTGACCAATGTCAATGCCTGCGTCCAGTTCCGCAAATCAGAGCAGTATCCTACCCAGGTCATTCTGGCCATGGTAGCCGCTCTCCCGTCCTACATCAAGCTCAGTGTTATCAAACAGGCTTTGGCATACGCTCTCACTTTGGAAGGCGAGGAGATGAAGATTTTCTACGTTGCCAGCTGGGTCCAAGAAAACATCAATGAGATCATTGAAAAGCCCGGTCGCATCCGCGAAGTTGCTGCTGTGGCATCCGCAGCTTCGGAGGAACCCAAGAGGGTCGTTAAGCGGGCGCGCAGAGCCCCTCGTTACCCCAAGCCTATCAACTGGTCGCCTGATCCTCGTAGCACGGAGGAGTGGCGTGCCAGAACGGAAACTCCCTCTTACAAAAAGATGCTGTACGCACGACAGAATTTGCCAGCCTGGCAGGTACAGGACTACCTCGTTCAGACGGTCTCGGAGAATCAGGTCACTATCATATCTGGAGAAACAGGTTCCGGAAAGTCTACGCAGTCCGTGCAGTTCATCCTGGATGATTTGTACAGCAAGGGACTTGGAAAGGGCGCAAACATCATTGTCACCCAACCTCGTCGTATTTCTGCCCTGGGTTTGGCGGACAGAGTCAGCGACGAGCGTTGTTCGCAGGTTGGTCAAGAAGTCGGTTACTCGATCCGTGGCGAAAGCAAGACGAGCCTGAACACCAGAATCACCTTCGTCACCACTGGTGTGCTGCTCCGGCGCCTCCAGACCTCGGGTGGCCGTGTGGAGGATGTGGTTTCATCGCTTGCCGATGTCAGCCACGTGGTGGTCGATGAGGTGCACGAGCGCAGTCTCGACACTGATTTCCTGCTTGCCATCATTCGCGATGTCTTGTACAAGCGCAGGGACTTGAAGCTCATTCTCATGAGTGCCACGCTCGATGCTGCGTCTTTCAAGGACTACTTTACCGTTGATAATAGGAATGTGTCGGTTGGTCTTGTTGAGATTTCTGGCCGCACATATCCTGTCCAGGATTACTACCTCGACGATGTAATCCACATGACCGGCTTCAGTGTTGGCAACAGGGGCGAATACTACTATGACGATAACGCTGGCAGCAACGCCAAGGAAGACCCCAATGCTGACCCCATCAACAAGATCATCCAGAGAATGGGCAGCCGCATCAACTACGATCTCCTTGTGGAGACCGTATGTGCTATTGATAGCGACCTTGCCGAGACCCAGAAGTCTGGTGGTATCTTGATCTTCCTGCCGGGTGTTGCTGAAATCAACCGTGCCTGCAACGCTCTGCGAGCAATCCCATCCCTCCATGTTCTCCCTCTTCACGCCTCCTTGGAGACCAAAGAGCAGAAAAGGGTGTTTGCAGCAGCTCCTCCTGGAAAGAGAAAGGTGGTTATTGCCACCAACGTCGCCGAGACGTCCATCACTATCGACGATATCGTCGCAGTCATCGATAGCGGTAGGGTCAAGGAGACCTCGTTCGACCCGCAGAACAACATGCGTAAGCTCGAGGAGACATGGGCCTCCCGCGCCGCCTGCAAGCAGCGTCGTGGTCGTGCCGGCCGTGTCCAAGCAGGCAAGTGCTACAAGCTATTCACCCGGAACATGGAGATGCAGATGGCCGAGCGTCCCGACCCCGAGATCCGGCGTGTTCCCCTGGAGCAGCTGTGCTTGGCCGTCAGAGCAATGGGCATCAAGGACGTCAGCCAGTTCCTCTCTCGTGCTCCCACGCCGCCCGAGGCCACAGCCGTCGAGGCATCCATCACCATGCTCAGGCGGATGGGTGCCCTCGATGGCGAGGAACTGACCGCCCTCGGTCAGCAACTGGCCATGATCCCTGCCGATCTGCGGTGCGGCAAGCTGATGGTCTACGGCTCCATCTTCGGCTGTCTCGACGACTGCGTTACGATCTCAGCCATCTTGAGCACCAAGAGCCCCTTCGTCTCTCCCCAGGAAAAGCGCGAGGAAGCCAAGGAGGCCAGAAAGAGGTTCTCCCAAGGCGACGGCGACCTGCTCACCGACCTCCGCGCCTTCCAGGAGTGGAACGACCAGATGAACCAGCGCCTGGGCCAGAGCCGGGTGCGCGCTTGGTGCGGCGACAACTTCCTCAACTACCAGACCCTGTC